TTCCAAAGAGCCATTGGATCCAAATTCTCAGCATACAAATCTGACTTCACCAACTAGCTGTTGTTCACCTGTTTTCATTTGAGCAAATCATCCCACTAAAAAGACATCACTCAACAATGAAGCTATATAAATTACCAGTGAAGCCATACACCTGTGGGATGGGGTTGGGGGTTCCAGATGATGTTGGACTGCAACCCCCAGCATTCCTCACAACTGGCTATGCTGGCTGGGCATGTTGGGAGATGCAGTCCAACAGCATCCGGAGGCTGCACTTTACATAACCCTGCTGTATCAGCTGCTATTAATAAAACTGTTGGCAAACAGCATCAAAAATCACACACTTTTTTTGTTTCAATTACAGTCCAATTTGCCAATGGCTTTTCTTGTCCATTCCACAGATTTTCTTGAAGAAGGTCAGGCAGCTGTGCTGGAGAACCGCACCCAAGCATCCCCAGTGTCCATCCCACCAAGGTTTCATTCCAATTCAAAATTGTCCTAAAACACAAGCAACGTAAGAACACACACACACACACACACACACATCAAATTAAGCCTTTTGTGGTTTCAGTTATGGAGGGAAAAGATCTCTGGAATCCAAGCAGCTAAAATATATATATTTCATCACACCCAAAGCATCTTTTTAAGAGCCAGATTCACTCACTTCAGATGTCATGGAAAGGTGAACACAGGTATTACATTCCTCACTTTCGCATTATATAGCTGCATATAACCCAAGGGTGGTGATCAATAGAAAGGCAGACATGGAGAAGGGAAGAAGCTGGCCCCTGCATTCATTTAAGCCTCTGTCTGCATCCCTGAGCACTGCAAACCCCACAATGAAAAGACATGTGTCTGAATGTCTTCAGGCTGGGGTGGGAACCATGTGCCCCAGCTGATGTTGGACTGCAGCTCCCAGCAGCCCTAGTCAGACTAACCAATGTTGACGAAGTCTGGGCACTATGACAGCATACGCTGAACAGCATCTATGCCAGGGCATGAGAAGTGCAACCCTCTAGTTGTTGTTGGGATTGCAACTTTCAGCATTCCGTACCATGGGCTATGCTTGCTAGAACAGATGAGAACTACAGTCCAACAGCTAGAGGTCTGCACTTTGCCTTCCCCCAATCCATTCAGTCTGAGGTAGAAACTGGCTGGCATTCTGTTAGTGACTTATGGACATGTAAGTGCAGCTTACACACATTTTAAGTCCCTTCATGAACAGAGTACACAAGGTTATGCTCTTGCTCTGACACTTGGTGCAAAAGCCTTCCACTGCCCAGCAACTGTCATGCCCAAGAGGGACCTCTGATGCTGTTTCTTACAGATGGAGAAGGGAGTAGAGTGAGGCAATTGAGACCATGATGATCTGGTTGCTCTGGGCTCCCTGGAGAAAGAGAAGGCAGCAGCACACCGTGCGAGAGCATGAGAGCATACCCTCATTTCTTCCTCCCGTGACAAAGCTGAGACCAGCTGGTATGAATCCCCTCTTATCTCCCTCTCCCCCTCTGCCAATAAGCAACAGCAAGAGGTGACTCTCTCAGAGCATGACAGCTGTCAGGTGGTGGGAGGATATGGAACTATACCTTTAGAGCTATGTGCTGATGTAGGATCACAGTCAATGTCAGTGTGGGTCTCATCCGTGCCACATGTACCTATCCTGTCATTACCAGCCAACATTCCTAGGCTACTGCTAGGGTGCCAAAATAGGAGTGGAAGGGTTTCACATGTAGATGGACACTCAGACAGTTAAGGAGGGGTTTTAAGAGGTATTAAATTAGGTCTCCTAAACACATAATGGCAAAGGCAACAAACTGTTTGCCACTGCCCATGGTTGACAATATGAATTACCACAGCTTCCCCTTCAAGCGTCTGCAGAGCTATCCAACAACTGTGTAAGTAAGGGACTTCAAACATGGAAGCCCTACACTCTGCAGAACTTCGAAGTTGCAGCTTCATTCTGAAAACAGATCAGATGCCTGACCGACTATGATGAAAAGGAATGAGAAGAAGCAAGCACAAGGCAGAGTGCTTCACTTCTGAGGCTTCGGATCCTGCATGTGAAGGTTGGCATTGATTCAGCAAAAGAACAGAAGCTCCGTGATTGTAGTATCACTGGACATGGGAAGGAACTAGCTGTTATATGTGCTATAACATGTTCCGTTCCAAGTCACCATTACAGCAACACAGTGTTGGTTGGAATGGGAAAGCATTCAGCACAAACTAGGTGCTTCCCCTTTCTTTTCACCTACTGCCTTTTCACTAGAAAAATTCCCACCAAAGCAAACTTATTTCTCACCCAGCCTGGTTTCTGATACTTGTATTCCCTGTATCTGGAATCAGACAGAAAGAGAAAAAGTGCATGTCTGTGTGCGTAGGTTTCTTACACTCCCTGAGAGAAATGCTGCAGGCAGGGAAAGAATTAAGTGTCAGCATGCCCACCACTTCCCTCCCTCCCTGCTTTTCTTCACCAATGTGGGATGAGCCTCATTTTGTCATAGGCCCTGATAGTTTCAATACAGTTAAAGCCTAAGAACATTTACGCTCCAGCTCCCCATCAAGATCTCAGCAGGCCACCAGATGGCACTGGCTCCCTTCTCTAAGATGAATGGACACAGTCACACTGCAGTTACAAGACTTCAGTCTATAGAGAGAGGCAGACGGACACACACAACCCTGATGAGTAAAGCTAAAACCAACCAAAAGCAATTGTTGGGATAAAATTACAATGCCAAAAAAACCTTCCCATCATAGAAAAGTGATCAATTTGCAGCACACCACGGACCCCAACAGCTATAAACAATTCAGATGACCACATAATTCCTTTCTTCCTGTCAGTGTTCATTAACTTTTAAAAATCAAAAGTCAGAAAATATATATATTTTTTCTTCATTAGCTGTATGTCAATTACTTATTTTATTATTATCAGCCTAGTCCAATATGGTATTACCCATAAATCCACTTTCAAAGCTGGGTTATTCTCTTATGACCGAAGTCCACCAGTCACTCAATCGCTGCGTGCGCACACACAAAAATCTTTTTAAAAAAATACTGAAAGCAAAAATGTTCTTCCCCTCCTTCCACGTCTCTGGCACCTGCCCTGTCACAGAGTAATGAGGTCAACCAGGTTGCCTTTGGGAGGCGTCATGTTGTCAGGAAAGAAGTTCACCAAAGTATCAAACAGTTGAGTTCGTTGGGCGTAGATGTGATCCACATCAGAAAACCCTGGAGGCAGAGAGATGGGAGCACAAGGGAAGAGAAGAGAAATCAAAGAGTTCATAGATTGAAAGGAGGAATTCTTGGCAGTGTCTATTAGGGATGGAAAGAATATTAGAAAATATTCAAAAAAAAAGTCAGAAAACATGTTAAGTGTTGAGACAGCCTGATGGGAAGAGTCCTGGACTGATGAGAGTCTTTGCAATTCAGGACTTAGAGCAAAATTTGCACATGCTTATTTTGTGTATAAAATGGTACTTTCAGTGCAGGAAATGGCATCTCCTGCATGGAAAATAATATTTCCATGCAGAAATATTAATTCCTATGCAGAAAATGCAGTTTTGGGGGCAGGAAATGCTATAACTGGGGATTTAGTCTGCATAAAAATTTCACATGGTTGATTTGTAAAGAAAACTGCATTTTCTACACTGGAATTACTATTTCTGCATTGAAATATTATTTTCCAACAGACAATGGTATTTCCTTTGCAGAAAATGTTTTCTGCACAAAACAACCATGTGCAAATAAGTCCCAAATTGCAAATAGCTTTCATAAACTTTCTCACAGCAGGAGGAAAAATACTGCAATTACTTGTTGCCAAATTTGAAAAGAAACTTAGGGCCTTTGCAGACTGCCAGAAATAGTGCACATTAAATTGAGGCATTGCCCTGGCTCAGTGCTAGGGAATCATGGGAATTGTATTTTTTTCTGGGACATTGAGCTTTCTCTATCAGAGAGCTCTGGTGCCACAATAAATTACAGTTCCCATGATTCCCTAGCACTGAGCCAGGGCAGTGTCTCAATTTAATGTGCACTATTTCTGGCAGTCTGCAAAGGCCCTTAGTGAAGAATTACATCCATAGTGTCTATACTGCAGTTATTGGAGTTTGATACCATTTTAAATGTCATGGTCACAGCTAAATAATCATGGGAATTGCAGTTCCACTCATCTGCACTACCATACCACAGATACCTTGCAGATAATTCCAAGTACCTTTTCAAACTAAAAATCCCAGGATTCCACAAGACAAAGCCATAACAGTTAAAGTGGGATTGAACTGCTGTAATGGTTTAGTATAAATCTCTCTTATCCATGGCAGAACCAAAAAGGAGGAGGAGACGGAGGAGGGAAATACTGAGATTTCTTGAGAGAGAAACCCAACCGCACAGCCTATAGATCAGCAAAAACATGAGCAAACAATTCTCATTATAATAAGAGTCAGATATTTTATCCCAGGCTATAATGACAATGTGGTGCATTACAAACACATGAAGACAACCTAAAGTGAGTCAGACCATTAAGTTTGTCCTGTCCAATGCCATCTATTCCAACCCACAGCAGCTATTCAATGCTCCCACAATGGTGTAATAGAAATCCATTTAACTAGAGCTGCAATGGACCTTCTGGGCCCTACTGCATGTAAATTCGGTGTTCGACCAACACAGAGCCCATTCCAGGCAGCAGAGGCAACCCAGGCATGGAAATGGCCCTCCCCAGCTGTAAAAGCCAGGATGTTGGTGGACATGACCAAGAGAGATCTTGGTGTTAATTGCTTGTGTCCTTTGGCAAGTTGCTCTCCTCTAACCTAATCTAGTTTGCATGGCTATTGTGAGGATAGTATCTACAGCTCCATCATAGGCAATCTTAAAATCCTTTGTGGGAAAGCAGATTGTCAGATCCTAGTTTTTGGGAACATGTGGCACTTTTTCTTAAACAGAAGCTAGTTGCAGCCAGTTAATCAAGATGAGTGTTCTGTACAAAGCAAACACTATAATTTAAACAGATAGACAGCATGGTATAGTGGTTTAAGTAATGGATTGGAACTCTGTTAGACTAGGGTTCAAATCCCTGCTCAGTCAGGGAAGCCCACTGGGTGGGCTTGAGGATGTCATGCTCTCTCTGTCTCAGGGGAAGGCATTGGCAAATTCCCTCTGAACAAATCTTGCCAAGGAAACTCTGTGATAGCCTCACCTTAACGTTGCTGAATATCAGGTATGACTTTAAAGCATACAAAACAGTGTACTTAAAGGCAATGTACTTTAAAAGCAGTTTACTTTCTTAAGCTATATTGTTAGGTTAAAATACAATAATGTGGTTTATTGCTAGAGGGATATAATCATCTGTGCCCAAATCTTGCAACCAGAGTGAAGGTGGCTAACAAAGATATGCCCAAATAAGTGTCCTAAATGAGAAAAAGAGCTGTTGGGTAGTTGCAGCTTTGTTTTGCACTGCACTGGGTCCATCACGCAACAGATCCCAAAGCTGAAAAAAGTCCTAGCCCTGGCCATTAAAAAAAAAATTAAACCTCAAAATATGACTATGCAGTTTGCAGGAGATGCTTTGCTGCAGATTCCATTCTGCAGCATAGCTGGGGAATAGAGAATCAGTACAGACAAGGATGCCAGCTGTCACACAACCAGAAGATTACATAACAATGTTATGGTAAGGATTTGCATCATGGGTTCTTTTCATGCAGCCAGCTGTAGGCTTTCAAAACTATTGCAGGGAACTGTACAGCACTTTAATTAATCCCCTCCAGGAACATTCAAGGTAGGATTAATTCTCAAAGGCTGATTTTGGTTTCTAGCCTTTCCATTTCTCTTTAAGTTTGGGAAAGTTCACCTTTTTTGGATGTCAGCCCCCAGAATCCCACAGCAAAAAGCATGTTTACTGCCAGATGGTCATGCTGGCCAAGGGATTAGGAGAGCAGTCATCCTAGGGGTAAGCCAGCATGGTGTAGTGGTATGAGTGTTGGGACTACAACTCTGGAGATTGGGGTTCAAATTCCTCCTCAGCCATGGAAACCCAATGGGTGACCTTGGGCGAGTCACACTCTCTCTCAGCCTCAGAGGAAGGCAAAGGCAACCCTCCCTCTGAACAAATCTTAACAACATAACCCTGTGACAGGTGCCTTAGGATCATCATAAGTCAGAAATGAATTGAAAGTGCATATTAACATCTTGGAGGGAGGTCCAAGCTCTGATTTAAAGCCATAGAGCCCTCAGTACCAATGCTTCAAAAGCTATAGTCACTTTCTTAAGGTGGATGCTGTGATTTAAAGGAAATGGAAGGGGGAGGGGATGGTCCCATAGCATTATATCCGGCTTTTCAGAGGTTTGTCCAAAGAGACCCAGCTATTGTTCAAACCAACATTATAAAAAGTGGAAGCTTTTCTCTTTCATTCTTGGAATGTGAAGGGAAGACCCTATCTCTACCCTCTGTCATATTCATAATCTGTTGCCTGCCTGCTATTATGATTTTTTTAGACGTTATACCTGATTGTTTTATTGTTTTTATTGTTTTATATGCTTGACGTTTAATGCTATTTTAAGGGGTGGGAGGGGGTTCTTTGGGATTATATATTGTGATATTTTAATTTTATAAGACGCCCCAATTGCTTCGGCAGAGGGGCGGGATAGAAATAAATTATTATTGTTGTTCTTGTTGTTGTTGTTGTTTGGGAAGCTGAACTTTGGATTTCTGGTTCTGGGAAATTTAAAATGCTGCTGTTTTCCTTGACATGCTGTCCAAGGAGACAGAAAACTGCTCAAGAGTGAGAAGAACAGCCTGAACTAACCCATATTTAACATCACAAGATATCTTCATGCTCATCACAAGAAGATATCAGTCTGTCCATCCTTCTCCTCCCCACCAAGGGCCATTGGCTTCCAAGATAATGTGGTACAAGTTAATTTGTTTTGACCAATGCCTCCCTACTTACGTGGCTAACACCATCGTGTGTCTGGAGTACTGAGAGCTTGAAACTGATCCCATGATATGTCTGGGGATTTAAGACAGATGCTTTTTTGAGACAGCTGCAAAAGCAGTAATCCCTGATGATCTGAATCTGTACTCACCAAGGGTGCTGAGAGCTGAGCCAGACTTGAAGAGGGCTGAAGCAAGTAGCTGGAACTAGGAGGAGGGAAAAACAAGAGAGGATTTTTAAAAAGTTTGTGTTCCCAGTAGAATATAAAAGCTTCCTAATCAACAACAATAAAAGGAACTTATTGTGCATGAGGATCCGGGAGGTGGCCTCCCAAGACCTAATAAGGCCAAACTGAGGATTCACATTCTGCTGGAAAAGAATTCGTCCCCTTCTGTTTTTAGATCAGAGCTTTCCAACCGCATTCATTTATTAAGCTGTCATCTTGGCATTTCACAAAAGCCAACAAGCCTTTAACAAAAACCACTGCTCCCTCCAAGCCAGCCAAAGTCCAAAGATATAATGCAACTTTCATCTGAATGGAGATACACCAAGTGGTAGCATGAAGTCCCTTCTGCAACTATCACAGGGAAAGAAAGGATATTTTGCTTTTACATAAATTGATATTTTGCTTCTGTGCCAACTCTAAAATGGGTTGTTCTCACACTGAATTTTTGGTGGATGTCAGACTTCCCTGGGCCTCAAAAGACCCAACATGGCATAGGAATCCTCCCTCCTGAAGGCCATAGTTAGAAAGGATTTCACTATGTTCAGATACTCTAGTGCCTAGAGTGAGACCCTGGTAGCCACCTATAACCCAAGACTGGATCCCAAGCCTTAAGACCCAACGCCTCAAAGACACTGCCATGGCATTACATAATTAGAACAATAGTATAGAGTTCTGTCCAGACCTAAGTTAGAATTAAAAGTTTACTTTTACATATGACACAATACAGACATTACAAAAATCTCTGTCACAAGGCGTGGTGATAGCTACCAACAGAGCTTCTTCTTTTTTTAAAGGTTGGTTGAATAAAGTCAGGAAAGTCAGGACAAATTCAAGAACAGCAGAGTTGTAAGACATATTCATCATCATGTAGTTCTATCTCATTGCTCAAGTCAGTCTGCGTAATGTAGGTCACAGTAGCAGCAACCCTGAAAGATGGCTCTCCAGCCTCTACTTGAACATCTCTCAAGAAGGAGAATCTCTCAACTCCTGAGGAAGCGTGCTCCACTGCTGAACAATTCTCACTGTTAGGAAATTACCAGGTAAGATTTCTTTCCTTGTAATTTCTACCCATTGGTTCAAAACTGACCTTAACAGATTAAAAAGCTGGGCCAAAACTAACAAAATGAATTTCAATGGGGAGAAATGTAGATACTACACTTGAGCAGTAATATGAAATGCAAAGATATAGGATGAGAGACACCTGGCTTGAAAGCAGTACATGTGAAAAGGATCTAGGAATCTAAGGGCCTGAACACACTGCCAGAAATAATCCATCTTGAGAACACTTTTACTGCCCTGGCTCAGTGCTAGGGAATCATGGGAACTGTAGTTTATTATGGCACCAGAGCTCTCTGACAGAGAAGCCTCAATGTCTCAGAAAAAACTACAATTCCCATGATTCCCTTTCACTGAGCTAGGACAGTTAAAGTGGTCTCAAGCTGGATTATTTCTGGCAGTCTGTTCAGGCCCTTAGTGGACCACTGACTGAATTTGAGTCAGCAATGTGATGCAGCAACTATAGCCACAATAGCTATAAGGAACATCCAAACTCAGAAACAGTATCCTTCTGAATACAATTGCTGGTGAGCTTTCAGGGCCCTTTTCCAAAGATGCATCCAGCTGGTCATTCCAGGACAGTGGACCGGACTAACCTTTGCTTAGGTCTTTACAGAGCAGCCTTACTTTTTAAAAAATCTTCAGATGAGATCATAGCTAAACACACAAAAATCCACACAGAAAAAAAGAGTGAACTGCATCAGGAGGGAAAAAACAGAACTCATACTAACAAAGACTCAACTTCCTCTCATTCCCTATCTGGGATACTTTATTGATGCCTTTCAATTACGCCATGCTAAGTTCACCAAGTGCTTGGTCATAAGCCGCTCTGTTCAGAACATGCTGTTTGTTTCACTTGGCACCCTAAACCCAAACAGCTGGAGTGGTTTTCATGCATTGTCATAAAATCCATCTTTACTTTTATATATCTATATATCTCTCCCTATATTTTTAAATATTAACTGCAAATCAAGTTCTTGATTTGCTATTCAAGCCATTCAGAGGAAAGGAAAGCAGTTTCTAAGGAAATCAGTATTATTATTTATCAATTATATAGTGTCATCAGTGTACTTGGCACTTTGCATGTGTGGTTTACAACTGCTGATTTGAGTTCCCTGCTCTTGGGCTTACACTCTAAAAAGACATGAAGCAGAAGGAAAGGGGGATGGCATTTGGGGAAGGAATTAATTCCAGCAGATGTGGGCTGCTATGGTTCTTGAGGCCATGGCAGTGGCATTTGGGGTGGAGAGAGGGCCTTTCCTCAGTTGCTGAGCCTAAGCACAATGGAGATGTGCCTGCCTCTTCTTCTCACCATCCCAGGCCACCATAATGGCAGTTGGGATGGAGAGAGGACCTTTTGTCTGCTTCTAGGCCTAGGCATGATGGAGCTGTGCCTGTTTTTTCTTCTCTCCCTCCAAGGCCAGGGCAGTGGCAGGTGGGATGGAAGAAAGGCCTTTCCACGTTTGCTGGACCTAGGCAAGATGGAGATGTGTCTGCCTCTTCTTCTCTACCTCTGAGGCCACAGCCGTGGCAGTGAATGGAAAAGAAGGCCTTTCCTCAGCTGCTCTGCCAAAGCAAAATAGGATGTTCCTGCCTCCTTTTTTCTCACTCTGAGACAGTTGGCAGTTGGGATGGATGGAGGAATTTTCTGCAACTGCTGGGCCTAGGCACAATGAAGTTGTGCCTGCCTCTTCTTTCCCTCAGAGGACACTTTCAATCGAGAAAATAAACATTTTTCTCTGAATATTCAAACAGCTTTTTCTGGACTGTAAAATTTTAGAATGAAAGTGGGAAGATCACACAGCTGAAATCACTTTGCAATTAAAAAAAAAACCAGTACACAGAAAACTAGCACTTGAAGGAAAACATTA